CCTCAGCCTCCGTAGTGCTGGGATTACAGGCATGTGCCATCCCCCCCGGCCAATGATTTTTTTTTTTAATTTTTTTTTTTTTTTTGGTACCGGGGATCAAACTCGGGCTCTTGTCCTTGCAAGGCAGGCACTAGAACCACTAAGCTAAATCCCCGGCTTATTTTTAAATCTAATTTATTTTGATTTATTGATTTATTTGGTACCAGGGATCAAATTCAGGACCTTGTACTCGTGAGGCAGGTGGCAGTACCACTGAGCTAAATCCCTGGCCCTCAAAGTTTAAAAATTTTTTAAAGGGTTAGACATGTAGTTCGATGCAAAGGCCCAGGGTTTAATCCCCAATAAAAGAAAAATCAGGGGCCAGGGATTTAGTTCAGTAGTGCCACCGCCTGCCTCGCAAGCATAAGGACCCAAGTTTGATCCCCAGTACAAAAAAAAAAAAAAAGAAAAATTGGGTGGCTTCATGTACCATTTTAATTGGTCTTAATGGGTAAGTATCTAAAGCAATTCCGAAGCCAGGTTGAAATTTTAAATGCAAACGTTTTTACTGACAGCTCTGGACTGAAACCAATTCCACAGAACAGAAAAGAGAATGTAGAAGTTGAGGCAATGGAGTGTAAAATTGCAGCAGACAAATTAATACTCTTCACCCTCGTCCTCTCCCTCAGCACCATCTGCCCCAACCTCCTTGTAATCCTTCTCCAGGGCAGCCATGTCCTCCCGGGCCTCAGAAAACTCCCCTTCCTCCATCCCCTCGCCCACGTACCAGTGAACAAAGGCGTGCTTGGCAAACATCAGATCAAACTTGTAGTCCAGGCGGGCCCAGGCCTCAGCGATGGCCGTGGTGTTGCTCAGTGTGCATGCAGCCCGCTGCACCTTGGCCAGGTCTCCACCAGGCACTGCGGTGGGAGGCTGGTAATTAATGTCGACCTTGAAGCCCGTGGGGCACCAGTCCACAAACTGGATGCTGCGATTGGTCTTGAGCGTGGCGATGGCAGCGTTGACGTCCTTGGGCACCACGTCGCCACGGTACAGCAGGCAGGAAGCCATGTATTTACCATGGCGAGGGTCACACTGCACCATCTGGTTGGCTGGCTCAAAGCAGGCGTTGGTGATCTCGGTCACACTGAAGTATTCGTAGTAGGCCTTCTCGGCAGAGATGACGGGGGCGTAGGCAGTCAGGGGGAAGTGAATGCGAGGGTAGGGCACCAGGTTGGTCTGGAACTCTGCCAGGTCCACGTTGAGGGCCCCATCGAACCTGAGGGAGGCGGTGATGGAGGACACAGTCTGGCTGATGAGACGGTTGAGGTTGGTGAAGGTTGGGCACGGGATGTCCAGGTTCCTCCGGCAGATGCCATAGATGGCCTCGTTGTCCACCAAGAAGGCACAGTCCGAGTGCTGCAGGGTGGCGTGGGAGGTGAGGATGGAGTTGTAGGGCTCCACCACCGCGGTGGACACCTGCGGGGCGGGGTAGATGGAGAACTCCAGCTTGGCCTTCTTGCCGTAGTCCACAGAGAGCCGCTCCATCAGCAGGGAGGCGAAGCCCGAGCCGGTGCCCCCGCCAAAGCTGCGGAAGACCAAGAAGCCCTGGAGACCCGAGCACTGGTCAGCCTGCAAAAGATTGAGACAGCAAGCGTGAGCTGCCACGGGCTTCTCAGAAATCACACTGAGATGGGTTTTTAAAACTTTTCAATAGCATTTGCTAAAAAAGCCATCACAAGAGCTTCAGAGTTGCTCTGTGACTCAAAAGAAGAGAAAACAGTCCACAGTAACTCCTGTGAGGGCCAGGGATCTGCTAACACACACACACACACACACACACACACACACACACACAGACTTTTTTTTTTTTTTTTTTTTTTTTTTTTTTTTTTTTTTTGAGACAGGGTCTCACTATGTAGTTCAGACTGCCCTCGAACTCACTGTGTAGCCCAAGTTGGTCTCCAACTCACAGTGATCCTCCTGCCTCAGCCTCCCGAGTGAGTGCTGGGATTACAGGCGTGCACCACCACACCCGGCACACCCAGACTATTTTTAAATGAACCTTCTACTCTCAGGTGGAGCTCACGTGGCCTGGGATGGTACAGGGCCCACATTTTTCAGTCTCTGGTGCTCATGGTGCCCTTGTGTTACTGAAAATTAAGTCAGTACTCCAAATAGCACTTGGCCTAACAAGCACTCACTGGTATGTGAGGCGATTTACTAACAGTCCCACAAGGCGGCACCTCAGTGGAGTCCTCTGCCACTTGTTGTTCTAGCTAACAAACTGCTACTCAAGCCAAGGATGAATGTTGACCTTTAAAGCCAGTTTTTCCCCAAGGTGCCTGGAGATCTGCTGACATTCTCTACCAATCCCTGGGCGAGTTTACCCCATGTCTTCACCCCACCTGACAGTGCTATGTAGGGCAGACCCCGTGTCTACCGCTACAATCCCTCAGGTGTCCTGGGGACACAGGAACAACCCCAAGGACGGGTGCAATTGTTTTGTCCCTCGATGATCATCCCCTCCGAACCCTAGATGGCTTTGATTCTATTTGCCCTTAAAAGCAGGTCCCTGAATTCCAAGTCAGCGCTTGCTGGTGAAGCTTGATTTGCCAGGATGGGAACCGTTAACCCACTTTAGCTGGGAAGCCTGGGGTAAACCTCTGAGGGAAGTGTGAGGCCAAGAACTCAGGGCCATCCTTCTCAGAACAGGCCCGTCATGGCTGGGCTTAGTGTGGGATTTTCCTGACACACGGCTCTACCCGGGCCCTCGCTCGATTTTTGGTTAACGACTTACAAGCTGCCCATGTGTACAGGGAGCAGGACATCGGATTGCCACGCTCTTGATCAAAACGATCCACGCGTATCACCCTATGTCCCAACCACCCCGACAGGGAGTTGCCTGAGACTTCCCTGCCACAGAGCCGGCTTGCAGGCTTTTTGAAAGCCGGGGCACCTCTTTTCCCTGCCTGTCCCTCAAAACTTCAGAATTTCAGTGGCTGCTATTTGCTTCTGTCCTAAGGAAGCTCCCGACTCCTTTTCCATTTCTGGCTTTGTTGGGATTCCCCACTTGGAGCTCTTCGTAGACAGTTGCCCTGGCTTCTTGTGCTCTGAACTGTTTTTTGGTGGGCTGAGGACTGAACCCAGGGCCTTGCACATGCCGGAAATGCTACCTGCGAGTTTACCTCCTGCTCACCTCCCTGCCTTGAGCTTTTCCTAACATAGGGCACAGGCCCAGGCTTTTTTTTTTTTTTTAATGAGTTTGATCAATTTGTTACATATAGGAGTAGCTACATAATGTAACTAAAATGACCTAAAAAGGGGTGGTGTCTCAGCTGGAAGCGAGGAGGGTTACTGGTCTTAAATGTCAGTGAAACTGTTAAGGCTTCTCTGTTCTCATCTTGACACCAGGTACACTGCCCTCACTGAAGGAATGGGCAAACTGCCCAAATCTGCAAGGGTATGTACTCTTTCTGACAGCTGTCCCATAACCCAGGACCATCTGGTTTGAAGCCCACTTAATGTAGACAGCAGCCCGATTAATTACAAGGAATGATTCTCATAGCTTGGCCAGCCATGGTGGCACACACTTGTAATCCGAGCACTTGGGAGGCTGAGGCAGGAGGATCACTGCCTGGGCCATGCACTGGCCAGTCCGGACTACACAGGGAGACCCTGTGTCAAAAACAAAACAAGGGCTGGGGATGTAGCTCTGTGGTACTGCCACCTGCCTTGCAAGCACAGGGTCCCAAGTTCAATCCCCGGTACCAAAAACAAACAAACAAACAAAAAAAAAACTTCAGGAGAAAACTCTAACCCCACTTAAAAATGTTTAAAGGGCTGTACTGACCAGTTTCCGAATTCGTTCCAAGACCGGGTCAGTGATCTCCCTGCCAATGGTGTAGTGCCCACGGGCATAGTTATTGGCAGCATCTTCCTTGCCCGTGATGAGCTGCTCAGGATGGAAGAGGTGGCGGTTAAAAAAAAAAAAAAAAAAAAACTGCAGGAGAAAACTCTAACCCCACTTAAAAATGTTTAAAGGGCTGTACTGACCAGTTTCTGAATTCGTTCCAAGACCGGGTCAGTGATCTCCCTGCCAATGGTGCAGTGCCCACGGGCATAGTTATTGGCAGCATCTTCCTTGCCCGTTATGAGCTGCTCAGGATGGAAGGGGTGGCGATAGGTACCACTGCGCACTTCATCTGCAAGAGGGAAAGAAACCTGCTATCCATGACTAAAAACTGCACCTCAAGCCCGGGGCGGCCAGACCTCACGTCCCAGCACCCTGGGACATCCCGTAGGTGTCCGAGGTCCACTCACCAATGACTGTGGGTTCCAGGTCTACAAACACGGTCCTGGGCACGTGTTTGCCAGCACCAGTCTCACTGAAGAAGGTGTTGAAGGAGTGATCTCCTCTCCCAAAGGTCAGGTCACCTGGCATCTGGCCGTCGGGCTGAATGCCATGTTTCAGGCAGTAGAGCTCCCAGCAGGCGTTGCCAATCTGGACACCAGCCTGGCCAATGTGGACAGAGATGCACTCGCGCTGTGGGACGAAGAAAGAAAACTGTCACAGTGACACAGCAGATGAGGAATGTGGAAATGCCACACCTAGGTGACTAACCTTCAAAGACGGATTAGCGCCTTCCGGAAGCCGCTCTCGCCCCGGGACTATTTCATAGGCAAAACTCTTTGTTGGAGCTGGGCACAGCTGGCACATGGCCATAATCCCAGCTACTCTTGATGCAGGAGGATCACAAGTTTGAGGCCAGCCTGGGCAATTTAGGGAGACTGTCTCCAAAAATAAAAAGGCCAAGGATGTAGCTTGTTGGCAGAGTGCCTCCTGGGTCCGACCCACAGTACAGGGTGGAAGGACGTCCTCACTGAAGACATAATTCAGAAAAACACACGTTGGAAGACCAGACATGCTGATGAACCACCATGCAAAGCCAGACCCTGGCTTTGCAGCCGCAGATCGAGTTCAGGTTTCTCCATTTTAAAGTGGCATAAGCTGTTCTATTAGCAGCACAGTTCCACTTCCCCCCAATTCCTGGGATACATACCTGTGATTTCTTAAACCAATATCAAACCCTCCTTTCCAGTGCTGATTCTTTGTGTGATTGGGTAATTCCTGAATCCATGCTGGTACCTCTTAATCCTGTTCTTTACAAGAGGAGAGCTTCTTCCCCTCCCCTGGAAAACCAGTTTATCCCAGCAACTCCAGCTGGAGAAGCAGCAGTTAGCTGTATTTTCAAAAGTGTGGTCAGAGCAGCCTTTTGTGAAAAGAATTTTTTTTTAAGACTCTAATCTTTGAGCTGGGGATTTAGCTCAGTGGTTCTGCCACCTGCCTCGCAAGCACAAGGTCCTGAGTTCAATCTCCGGTACCAAAAAATAAATAAAAAACACACACACACACACACACACAAACAAAAACTAATGTTCAGAAAGAACATTTTTCCTTCACTATTTTTTCTGGAGGAGTGTTAAGACAGGGTCTCGCTATGTAGCTCAGGCTGGCCTTCGACTCACTGTATAACACAGGCTGATGTTGAACTTGCTGCTATCCTCTGGCTAGATATGTGCCACCACACCCAGCTCAGTTTGGAGTTTTTAAAACTTTAGTCAATAAGAAACTAACGTAAAATCCCAGCACTCAAGAGGCGGAGGCAGGAGGATTGTGGTGAGTCCAAGGCCAGCCTGAACTACACAGTGAGACCCTGTCTCAAACAATAAAAAACAAATTAATTTGAGAAAAGCTTGCCAGGAGTCGTGGCACATGCTGGTACTCCCAACTGTTTAAGAGTCTGAGGCTAGAGGACTACAAGTCCAAACCTAGCAGGTAGAGCTCCAATGCAAAAAAGAAAAAACAAAGAAAATGAAAACTGAACACCAACTATGTTCTTAAAGGTCCTAGTTTCATAACCCAGTAAAAAAATTGCTTTTGATTTATGATCACCGCCTTCCCACATATGCTCCCCATAAAACCATCAAGGCTCCTTAGGTACCACTGCGCACTTCATCTGCAAGAGGGAAAGAAACCTGCTATCCATGACTAAAAACTGCACCTCAAGCCCGGGGCGGCCAGACCTCACGTCCCAGCACCCTGGGACATCCCGTAGGTGTCCGAGGTCCACTCACCAATGACTGTGGGTTCCAGGTCTACAAACACGGTCCTGGGCACGTGTTTGCCAGCACCAGTCTCACTGAAGAAGGTGTTGAAGGAGTGATCTCCTCTCCCAAAGGTCAGGTCACCTGGCATCTGGCCGTCGGGCTGAATGCCATGTTTCAGGCAGTAGAGCTCCCAGCAGGCGTTGCCAATCTGGACACCAGCCTGGCCAATGTGGACAGAGATGCACTCGCGCTGTGGGACGAAGAAAGAAAACTGTCACAGTGACACAGCAGATGAGGAATGTGGAAATGCCACACCTAGGTGACTAACCTTCAAAGACGGATTAGCGCCTTCCGGAAGCCGCTCTCGCCCCGGGACTATTTCATAGGCAAAACTCTTTGTTGGAGCTGGGCACAGCTGGCACATGGCCATAATCCCAGCTACTCTTGATGCAGGAGGATCACAAGTTTGAGGCCAGCCTGGGCAATTTAGGGAGACTGTCTCCAAAAATAAAAAGGCCAAGGATGTAGCTCGTTGGCAGAGTGCCTCCTGGGTCCGACCCACAGTACAGGGTGGAAGGACGTCCTCACTGAAGACATAATTCAGAAAAACACACGTTGGAAGACCAGACATGCTGATGAACCACCATGCAAAGCCAGACCCTGGCTTTGCAGCCGCAGATCGAGTTCAGGTTTCTCCATTTTAAAGTGGCATAAGCTGTTCTATTAGCAGCACAGTTCCACTTCCCCCCAATTCCTGGGATACATACCTGTGATTTCTTAAACCAATATCAAACCCTCCTTTCCAGTGCTGATTCTTTGTGTGATTGGGTAATTCCTGAATCCATGCTGGTACCTCTTAATCCTGTTCTTTACAAGAGGAGAGCTTCTTCCCCTCCCCTGGAAAACCAGTTTATCCCAGCAACTCCAGCTGGAGAAGCAGCAGTTAGCTGTATTTTCAAAAGTGTGGTCAGAGCAGCCTTTTGTGAAAAGAATTTTTTTTTAAGACTCTAATCTTTGAGCTGGGGATTTAGCTCAGTGGTTCTGCCACCTGCCTCGCAAGCACAAGGTCCTGAGTTCAATCTCCGGTACCAAAAAATAAATAAAAAACACACACACACACACACACACAAACAAAAACTAATGTTCAGAAAGAACATTTTTCCTTCACTATTTTTTCTGGAGGAGTGTTAAGACAGGGTCTCGCTATGTAGCTCAGGCTGGCCTTCGACTCACTGTATAACACAGGCTGATGTTGAACTTGCTGCTATCCTCTGGCTAGATATGTGCCACCACACCCAGCTCAGTTTGGAGTTTTTAAAACTTTAGTCAATAAGAAACTAACGTAAAATCCCAGCACTCAAGAGGCGGAGGCAGGAGGATTGTGGTGAGTCCAAGGCCAGCCTGAACTACACAGTGAGACCCTGTCTCAAACAATAAAAAACAAATTAATTTGAGAAAAGCTTGCCAGGAGTCGTGGCACATGCTGGTACTCCCAACTGTTTAAGAGTCTGAGGCTAGAGGACTACAAGTCCAAACCTAGCAGGTAGAGCTCCAATGCAAAAAAGAAAAAACAAAGAAAATGAAAACTGAACACCAACTATGTTCTTAAAGGTCCTAGTTTCATAACCCAGTAAAAAAATTGCTTTTGATTTATGATCACCGCCTTCCCACATATGCTCCCCATAAAACCATCAAGGCTCCTGACCACATGAGCAGGCTCGGCAGTATTACCTGTGACTGCTCGCCCAGGTCTAGGGCTGTGGGGGAACAGAAGCCGTTTGTCCTAGAGAGCCCTTTACTCTTCACTGTTGGGTGAGGTTTATCTGAACTTTGGAAACTGCAGCCGGAGAAAGTGGAAAGAACCAGCTATCTGTTCATGATGGGCCCAGGCTAGGCCCAAGCAAATACAGCACTGTATCTGAGAAGACTCACTCATTCTAACAAACCACAGAAATCTTAGCCGGGCATGGTGGTGCATGCCAGGAATTCCAGCCCTAGGGAGGCTGAGGCAGGAAGATCACCAGTTCAAGGCCAGATATATTCCTGTCTCAAGACACCCAAAAAAGCCAAACCGATAATCTGTGCTTTTTCTTTGGATTTTGGCCTCCCACACACAGCCTCCTCCCGCCTCAGCATCCAGAGTGTTGGGATTATAGGCAGGTGCAACACCATACCCAGTTTACAAATCTTACCTTTTAAAAAAAAATAGCTGTCTAGCTGGGCATGGTGATGCACGTTTGTAATTCCAGCACTCTGGGAGGCTGAAGCTGGAAGATTATGAGCTCAAGTCCAGCCCAAGCAACATAGAGCATAGAGACACAGAGACACCGAACCCAGCCTTGTGGTGTCCTAAAGCTCACCGCCAACGTCAAGGGCTGTTTTCTCTGCTCTCTAGGGCTACTGGAGTAGGGGGCGGTGAGGCACAGGTGAATCTCGGTCTTGTTTTAATTGAATACACAGCCACTGTCTCATTCAAAACTGCCCCCCAGAACCTGATTCCCTATAGCATCTGTGCCACCCTGCACTGTTTCTGAATCACTTTTACCAGATCTTCTGGGTCTTGCTGGATGAGTCAAAGCGATCTGGTACAGTCACAAGTGCTTTCACTAACTGGGCAGCCTCTAAAATTCTAAAAAGATACTATTTCAAGTCCCAAGATACATGGATACTTGTTTAAAAGACTTCTTTTAAATAGAGTCTCAGGGGCTGGGGATTTAGCTCAGTGATTCTGCCACCTGCCTCGAGAGCGCAACGTCCAGAGTTCGACCCCGGTATCAAACCAAGAACAAAGAGACTTTCAGTAGATATTGTCTTAATTGTCTCTGATACCTCTGGGAAGATATATAGAAAATGCTCAAATCATTATAATGCTGGGGTTCAAACTCTCAAACTCACACCCATCCTCCTGCCTTAGCCTCTCCAGTGCTGGGATACAGCACCTTGAAAACTAAGAGCATATTGTTAGTACTAGTTTACTCTTGTTTTTGCAAGAAAATATTCTTTTATGGATGTTTCTGAAACCTGGTTTTCAGTAGAAAGCTTCACACTACAAACAGCCTGCTACATTAACACTAGAAAAGCAGGATTCGGCAGGGACAGTTAATTCCTTCAGAGGAGCCCGCCTTCTCAGTTGGACTAGGACATCTGGTCGCGCCGGCACAGAGCTGGCACAGGGCTGGCCAAGTCGCAGGGCGCCGAGGACCGCCCGGAAGTGAATGTGTGATCACAGAAGGGCACACCGGGTCCTGCGGGGCCGGCTGGCGTCTGGGGGAGTGGGAAGGGGAGGCAGTCGGGGGGAATGTGGGGAGAGACCAGTCTCTCCAAGCCCTGGGGGCCCAGGTGAAGGCTCCCTGCCCTTCCCTGTGTCATAGCGGGCCAGGTTGCCCTCTCCGCGAGAGGACCAGAGCCCGGGTGGCACTCTCCAGCCCAAAGCAGAATAAGTTCTGGTGAGCTGCTTTCCCAGCTTGATGCTGAGCCAGTCGGACCTGAGAGGGAGGAAGCCTTGGAGGCCCTGAGTGCAGCCTGCGGCTCTCGGTGCCCCTGTCCATTCATCCTCTACCCCGCCCCACTGCCCGGCAGGCAACACCCCCATTCACCATGATGGGGACTTGTAGGGGTCAGTGGTGCCGGCGAAGGCGACAGGACAGCGACGAGGCTCTCCCAGGGACAGAAGGCCAAGGAGTCCGGGGAAAGAAGCCGTGGGGAGGGCCAGCCCACTGGGCCTGTATATGCCCTGCCCCGGTAGAGCCCCACCCACAGACAGGGGCAAGCTGCGGTGATTGGTGGGTTTAAACCACACTCGTAGTGGGGAGCCGGGAGTGGAAAGGAGAGGAGACACCGAGGCAGGCAGGATAGGCAGCGAGGGATCTGCGAGGCCCAGGAAGACAGGGTGAATTCACCGTCCCGGAGGGTGTGTCCACATCAGGTGAAGGGAAGTCCTGCGCCAGGTGGAGGGGCTGGGGACCACCCAGGGGAAAGCGCGCCCCCTCTTCTTTCATATGCATATAGAAAACTGGTGAATGTGCCAGTTAACTACCATGTGAACTTGGCTGCTAGGTGATGGGTATAAGTTTAACCTGTGAGCTTCAGAGACCTAAAATTCTAGATTAGACTTTAAATAAAACATAGTGTTGTTTTGTAGCTAAGGAAGGCTGCATAGGTGATTATGTAGATAATACAAGTGTCTTACGGGTTCTTCGCCCTAGGGCCAGGGGCAAGATTTCTCCAAGCCATTGTTTGACTCAATCCATCTCTAGAGGTGATCTCTTTTGCAGGCTGAGAATCATTCCAACTGCAGTGGACCCGTAGGTTCCCAAGAGCTGGTTTTAATTCATGTTGGTTGGAGATCAGTAAAACTGAGATCTGGATGTTTACCTGGGTACACCCTATGGACCACAAGAGGCAGATGACTATCGTTAATCTAATTAACCCAAGTTGTTCATATGTCAGGCTGGACATAACTTGAGGTCTACCATACTTCCAACTGACTCTGTGGTATTTGACCTCACTCTCTCTCAAAGAATTGGAAAGCAGTGGTTTAGATCTCTTGATGACTGGTTTTGTTGGCAATGCTTCCCCCTTTCAACGTGACTGTTACAGCTGAAACCAACTGCAATTTGCCCTTTTAGAAACACCTGCTATGATTAGGAGCGTGAGTTTCCAGGGAAGAGAGAGTCACGAGCCCGGAAGGGGCGGCTGGTCCAAGACCCGGCCCATCTTCTGGTCTCTCCAGAGGGCAGCCACCTGCTCCGGAGTGAACTCACCTCGGGAACCCCTTGAAGGTACAGCAATCAAGTGGGAATGTAAAGAGACGCCCATTTTCCCCTTGTATTGGTGGGAGACTCAATATCGAAAATCTCTTACTCCTTTAAAATGTACCAGAGTTGGAAGAGAAAAAATGTGAGTAGGTGACAGGAGATGCAGAGGCTGAATGAAGGAAGAGGCACAGAGTTGCCAGGATTCTTATGACAAAACGGGAGGCAGAGGGAAGTCCTTAGGAATTATGACGCTGTTTCACATCTAAAGTCATACTGGGAAAATGGTCAGCACTGCCTGATGTTCAGCGTCTTTGCATTAAGAAATACTCCTTACTTGTGTTCAAAACGTAAAGGTTAGCCACAGGTAAATGAGATGTCTCTGACCCTTAGGGCATCCGCTATCGCTGAGCATGAGGCTGCTCTTCCTCCCCTTTGGAACCTGAGGACAAGGTTCCCGAGGCAATTTTAATCAAAGCCTTGCCCACTGTTGCTGAGTCTGAGGCAGCCCCTACTTGCCCTTCAGATGCTGAGGATGGGGGCCAGCCTCTCCCCTCAACAAGATGGTGACTGGTTTTTATAGCACAGGTCAGACTGACTGATTTGTATAACACAAATAGGTTCATCCATAGAACCAACCCTGCCTAGGGAATTTTGTGAGTTTAATTACAGGTTGAAACCAAAGCAGGTATTACAGAGTAGGCAAAGCCTTAGTCCCCAGAGCAGCACCTCTCCCATCATGATTTCTCTCCAGTACATCTTGCCAGACCAGCCAGTATTGTCAAAGATATGCTAGCTGAGGCTCTGAAAAAGGAAGGCCTATAACTAAGTATGGTCCCAGGGTCACAGGCAACATGGGGGAAAAAACTGTCATAGGCAAATATCTGCAGCAGGGCAGATTAGAGCCTTGGCAGGTCTTCTTCTCCCACTGTTTAAAATATGGTGGGAGTGTAGACTGGTGCAACCACTGTGGAAATCAGTGTGGAGATTCCTCGAAAAACTAAAACTGGGGGGCTGGGGATTTAGCTCAGTGGTTCTGCCACCCGCCTTCAAGCACAAGGACCTGAGTTCAATCCCTGGTACCAAAAAAAAAAAATTAAAAAATAAAAATATATTAGAAAAACTAAAACTATAGGTTCCATTTGACCCAGCTATTCCCCTTCTTGGTATCGTCCTGAAAGAATCAAAAGGATCACACCACAGTGACCTATGCTCACCATGTTTATAGCAGCACAGTTTGTAACAGCTAAATCTTGGAAACAACCCAAATGCCCATCAACTGACAATTGCATAAAGAAGATGTGCGGTTTTTATACAGTGGAGTACTACTCTGCCATAAAGAAGGATGAGCTTCAGACATTTCTAGCTAAATGGATGGGCCTTGAGACCATATGCTTAAGTGAAATAAGTCAGACACACGTGTTTAAATAGGGCATTATTTCTCTGCTCTGGGGTGCAGCAGACAGCATCCTGCCCTTGCTGAGCCTCTGGCCTCGCAGGCGGAAGAGCAGAGAGGCGGCCCCCGCACAGCGCCCAGAAGCCTCCATGGGTGTGATGGGGGGGTGACAACACCTGGGGATGAAGCAGCGGCGGGGCAGCCCCTGGGGAGGCTCGGTGCCCACAGGAAGCTGCCCTGTCCCCGAGCAAGGCTCGGGACCTCCATGGTGTCCCCACTTTGCTGGACATAACCTCCCGTGACCCCCAGGCACCCCTTGACCTCATCAGTTCTTAAAGCCCTTCCATGCACCCTGAGAAGCCAAGGCCAGCAGACACCAGGAGCCCAGGAAATGAGCCCTGGACCCGGCCTCCCAAGGGAACTCATCCTCCAAGCCCGGCCTCCTCCTGCCGGTCTGCAGCATCTCGGCCAGACCGAGGAGAGATCTGCACAGTGCCGCCCGGACTCCATGCGGTGCCCAGGCTCACCAGGTCTACGAATACCCACCACCAGCAAGCGGCCCCTCATCACCAGCCTCTGCCCAGCCCTGCACCGCCGGTGGCACGGGGG